CGAACGTGGCGGTCCGAATGGGACCAAGAAAGTGAAAATAAGCTCCATGTGGTAAAACCAGATTTAGGACTGTGGGAGAGTGCATCTCATTAGAATCGCTTCATAGAAGTACTCCACTGCCGCCTTAGAATTGGACACAGCGTCTTGACACATGGGCATCTCCTTTGTGGAGGGGATGCTCCAGTCTGTGAGCACTGTGGGGAATCACTAACGGTGCTTCATATTCTATGGCTCTGTTCAGGTCTTGAGGAGAACCGACGTGCTTGCTTCCCGGCATTTTTCGCATAAGATATTCCTTTCCATCCTGCACTCTTAGTGGGTGAGCATCCCATCATTCCCATTAATCGCGTAATTTCATACTTAATAAAAAGCGGTTTTTTACGTCGATTTTAACTTCCATATCTCTTTTTTCATGTTCTACTAATAACAAAACTTTTGTTGCAAAGCTGATTTCACAGTGAATCTTCCAAGACTATTAGTCTGAGCAACATTATTACATCTGTTTGACGCAGTATGGCCTTCGTCGCATTTGCGCCAGTAAACCACCAATACTAATACTAACTCTGACGCATCACCTCCGATACCCCATTACTCAAGGAGTCTGCGTAGAGCCTTGCACACATCTGTGTTTCTATTCGCTTTTTGTTGAGATCTTACAGCTGTGTTTTTCCTACCTTGGCTGCCCCTTGGCGGATGGTTGTATGAATAAATAAAAACTGGCGGCAACTTTTTATTTAGAAGGGTCTATATTGCATGACATGCAGTATTTAGCAGTGATCGTTTCAATTATGTGGAAAACATTAAACAGTCGCTCTGGGAGTAAGAATCTGTGTTCTTATGAATTTTCGTGGAAACTGGTTTGGTGTGTGACAAGAGGGGAAAGTGGTGAGGGAACGGAAGGGTGGCGGAGGGAGAGTACTGTAATGAGGGGGGGGGGGGGGATAGAGGAAGGAAGCAAAGTGAAGGGATGCAGATGCTGAAACACTAAGAAAAAATGGGGAGAAAAGAAGGCGGAAGGGAGGAGAGAGGCTGAAAAAGACAGTTGGCCCGCCCCATGATGTATATTATCCCGCTAAATGTAGCGAATAACTGAATTGCTAGTTAGGTCACGTGACGTCAGTTTCCCCGCTAACCCTAGATTGGAAATTAAATTTGTGTTTAGGTGAGAAGAAGCAAAATTCGTCACTGAATTTATCGGGAAAACTAAAATGTCTTAGATATCACGTGACGTATACACTCTAAGAAAAAAGATGGTCTCAAAGGACTAACGGCAGCATTTGGTCCATTGAACTCCCATTTGCTCCCCGAAGAGACCATCTGGTTCGAGCTAGGTACCGTGCGCAAATGCTGGGTACTAACTGTACACGGCCAGGACTAACCGAAAGGCGCGCGGGAGCAAATGCAGCCCCGGGTGCAAAAGCGCAGGAGCAAAAGCAGCGAAAGGCGCAGGGGGAGCAAGAGCGCGGGAGCAAAAGACGTGCGGGCAAGATGGCGGCGTCTGCTTCATCGCCGATGGCCAGCGTTAGCGACGCACTTACTGTTTCGGAACGCAGGGGGAAGTATCCACAGACAATCGCAGCATCAAAAATTGCAAGAGGGGGCATGTTTAAGGGTTGAAACTGACTTTATGTCGATCGCAGCATCCACACCAGCGCATCGTGGAAGCCGCCTCTGACTGAAGCACAGCCATTGTTGATGCACTGGCCATGCCGCTTTTGGGCACTGTCCTGTCGTCCTTCCCGTTTGCATACTTTTGAACGTGCTTTGAAAGCGTTTATATTTTCTTTTTGGTTCAACTGAAACGTAGAAAAATGTTGTTATCACTTAGCTAGTGGTAAAAACGTTTCCAAAGGCAAAAAAGATAAATTCTGGTTTCTTTTCTTTTTGTATTCTTTACATTTTTTTTTTCGGAAAAGACGATGGGGTTGCCACGGAGACGCGCATGCGCACAGTGGGGAAGCTATGCGGGGAAGCGAGAACATGGCTCCTGGGAGCCTATGAGGAAGCTGTTTTATAGACTGTCACAATTAATTACTGTGTGTACCGTTACGTCTTAGTAAGAGATACACTCCTAGGAAAGTTTAGCAACAATATTGGAGAACAATACTGGTGCGAAAGCAGCACCATATTTATAACGTCGTTCACGGTTGAGATGGTCACTGACAAAACGACTCCTCTCACATGATCAGTATAAAAGGCGCATGGGTAGGCTTTGGGGTGACGATTGAAATAGCGTGTCGTCGCGTGTGTGTTGTGTGTGTCATCTGTGTTCTAATTCCTTGTCTATGTTGAAATGTGTATAACGTGTGCAAATGTGAAATAAGCGTTGTTGGTATGTTAATGTAATGAGCGCGGAAAAGATCTACCCCAGCGATACTATATTTTTTTACCAACTTTGAATTTGACGTTGACTAGCGCCACCTGGGTGTGTAAGTGCGCAATTTGGTACTAAATAAGGTAAGGGCGCAACCTTTAGTCCCAGGGGCCTAAATGCAAAGGTGCAAAAGTTACTCCTGGGGGTTCAACTTTGAGGGGCTAACGGTAGGGGAGCAAGGGTTGCTCCCGTCACCGTTGCTCCCCTAGGGGACCAATGGTTGTGTCAGCGCATTTGTTCTCTTGCGGGAGCAAGTCACGCTCCCTTTTTTCTTAGAGTGTAGTTGTAACGTGTGGTCACGTGACGGGAATATTCTCACTAAATTTAGCGGAGGAAGCACAGACGAATGGACGGACATACGGACAAATGTTTGGGAATTGAGGGCTCCTTTAAAAATAAAGTTATGCTTAAAACAATAGACAAAAATAATGCACAAGTCAGAGCCGTGTCCATGGTGTCCATAGTGCTACTTCAGCGCCCTGCTGTATATATAAACAGGTCTTACTGAAGCACTATATGATACTGTCTAAAGCAGATTAAATAACTGCATGATGCTGAATTATGTAAAAGGCACAATTGCATAATACTACAAGACACGAATCCCATAATATAAATTTACGAACATATGCTTCATGAACACGAAGTAGGTTGCCAGTAAAACAAATCAAGCTTTACTTGTAAAACTAGGCTTACTGTATTAGTCACTAGCCTAGGCTCGTTAATAAAGGACATATACAAATTGGAATAATACATTGAATTAAATGTAAAACTTGAATCAAATCTTCGATCTGAACACGGCGTGAAGTCTGTAGCCGCTTGCGTTCTAGTTTCTGCCCATTGGTTTCTTTCCCGCCGACGTTTTGAGTTTGTCTCATATTGGCACATAGCTCGTTTTTCTGGGGAGTCTACGGTCATGATTCTAAGAAATGACATAAAATGAAGTTGGAGGGGCAAGAAGGAAGAAGGTGATGCCAAGTGACACAACGATGTTAGAAGAGGAAGAAAAAAGAAAAAGGATGACGAAGCAGGGATAATCGAAGACTGAGACCGGGAGGAAGCGGTGGATGGGGTCCATGGCTACGCTCCAGGACGCGCCCGACCATTGCTGTGCACAAGCTGTCGCGGCGAGAGTTCCACACTCCCCTTCAGACGCCTAGGAGACAGGAGCTTCGCTGCCTTCCGCAAGTCTATATGGGTCGTCGACGCAGCGTACTCAAACTGTAATGCCTGATCCGAACAGCTTCTTTTTTTGGAACTGTAGATGTGCTTAAGCGTGTGTGTATTATTTTCCCTTTTACTGCGTACGTACTCCTTTGCTTTCCGTTGTATCTTCGTCTTACTTTTGTAAATAAAATCAATTGTAAATTATTCGTTTTCGGCCTCGTCTCTAATGCATTTGCAACGTCTCCGGTAGGACCGTGACATCTACGTTGACGTTTGATTTCAGGAGCGCAAAATTCTTTTAGGATAACGTCATCAGTCACATATTTTAGCCATTAACTATGAAGGTTCTTATTGCATCGCGTTTAATAAACCTAGGCGTGTCAGCATTCATACACCCAACGCTATTCGTTCTCTTTTTCACACAGGGGACAAATACAATGACTCAATAAACCAAAGTGTAAGCTGTTTGTCCAAAACTGGCCCGTGCATACCTTTCCTGCCTTACGGTCTAAACTTGTTTATTGAAAGGGGTATCCTTTTTTTCTTTTTTTTCTGAGCTAGCGCCTTTGGTAATATGTACATGCATTTAAAAAGGATGCTTTTCCCCACATAAGTTTGAACGTTTGAATATAATCGCGTATCAAGACGAAATAAGAGTAGTATGGTATTAGTCACCTCCAGGGCATACTGTTATTCGAAGTGTAAAGTAAATAGAATAAATATTGCTTTGATTTGTTCTGCAGAGTCATTTTGCTAAATATTTGATGATGCAACCACATACTTCAGTTATTAACCAGCTACGCATAATGAAGAAACTCAATGCCAATTCATTTTAGGTAGAGTGATTTGTTTTTCTGGGTTCCGAAAAGGAACCCAAAGCGCCGCGTCCAGACGGATTTGCCTTTCTTTCATATTTTCTTCGGCCATTAGTTATCATGCAAGAAATGCGATAGCTTTTGTGTAGAAAAACGAGTCCCGCACGCACGACGTTTTTTTTTTACATGTCTGTTTATTCGTTTTCGATGACGTTGAGGACGTTTATAAATTAAACAATATGTATATATTTTTCAATAATTTTGTTTGACATACTATTTATAATTTCAAGTGTTCTACACTCTACGTACATCAGCACATTGGCCCATTGGCCATGACCGCTAGGCACCAATAGTTTCTCTTTGTGATCAGTAAATTTCGCATTATAATTTTCGTGAATGTTCGTGTGAACACTCGGTATACTTGACGAGTATTCCCCTAAACACTGAGGAAACGCTCGACATACTTGACGAAGGTTTCCCCGAAAATAGAGGAAGCACAATAAAGTAATTTTGATTTACTGTGCAATTTCTTAGTCAACGCCGCAGAAGTACATTTTTGTTATAGCCACTAAAGTAAGTGATTTTAGGTACTCCTTGCAAAAGTTATATTTTATATTATTGTAAAATGTTAATCTATGTAGTTATACCAGCGTCTTTTTTTTCGTGATTCGTAGGGGGCTCCACCTCGTAGATCCTGTGTGCAAGATATCCCTCCTCAGATCGAGCCACCAAAGGCAGAGGAGCGATGCGTAATTTGTTATTGAGGACTCCCATCTGAAAGGGAATAAAAAAAGAACTCCATAGAATCACCACGCAGGAATTTGACGCACGTGACACGTTGTTTGAATGGTCTTTTATTCATTACTTGTTCGCCGTACGATTTCTATAATCATAATGCCAATATTCCTTTTGTAGAGCAACCGAGTTGGCAATATACATAAGAGTGGGCAAGTACGAAATGGAATGATCAATACATCAGTATAATCACAATGTAAGACGCGCGATGGTACAGTCTTGGAATTCGAGAAAAGGAGGGTTATGGCTGCTGCAAGTTTAGCATTATAATCTAACTATATAAAGTGTTGTCAGGAAGAGCCTTTTACTGATTTCTGGGAACATGTAGAAGTTTGAGAGGAAATGATGTACGGTTAAAACTGGACGGGATTTGATGAATGGTCGCAACATAATAAACTTGCGTGACCAGGTGACAATGAAGATTTTTTTTAGTTCTTGTAATAATAATTGCTTAACGTCCTTATAATCACCAATTAAATATTTAGCTGAATTAACACCTCACCTTGGGGTTTTGTCGGGTGTACGCTACAGTCAAGTTTAGAAAAACTTGGATGAAGAATTCACGTCTTATGAGAAAGAGAGGCCAGACTTCTTAGTGCACACGAGACCAGCAAATTCACTCACCTTATGACATAAATACAACAGTTCCAAAATCGAGACCCACCTTTACATAGTTCTTAAGAACGAAGTCTACTAAAGGACAGTTCAAATGTTTATAATTGACATTTAAAAAAATAGTCTTATTGAACGCTACAATCTATTTATTATGAAACATATTTTTACTTTCTTTTCTCATAAACAGGTTTTGGTTGCGTGGGCGCTATGACGCTTCGAAATCAGAAGGTGAGAATGTGTCATTTTTTTAAATTAACTGTATCATATCTGACCAAACTACTTAATTTTTCTTCCCTATTAAAATCCTAGACGGGTTATTACCAACTGCCTAGGTATAAAACGAGTGATTAGCGTTGCACGAAAGATAACGGGACTTTAAGAAAAATATATGATTGTTTGTTTATAGGACTAATATGGTATTGTCAGATTGCAACCAACCATTTCACATTCTTGTATATGAAAACTTCCGGTTCAAGGATCACACAGAGTCGCAGATCGTGCATTTAATCAGGGGTTGGTATAACTAATAAGATGCTGATTCAATTGAAATCAACTTCCATTAAAGTGTATCAGTAATTATTCACGTATTTGCATTTGCCGACACTTTTCTAGGCTGACTCTATTCATAAAAAATGCCTGATGGCCAAAAACATACACGAATTAGGATATTGAGTTGTGTTTGTGAATAAAGGTATTTCGTGAAGTGTACGTGCTGAAAATTTAGATATTACTAGCATACAAGGAAAAAACCGTGTGACTAAATCTTATTATAATGCGAAGTCCGCACAAGCAAAGAATAAACAATAATAATATTAAATGCCATATTCTATGCGTATAGTTTAGCGACGTAACTTTGTCCAGTCGGTTCTGACCATCGGCCGACTAGAGACGATAACTCACTTTGTAAATTGAATAGAATGGTCAGTAAAGATTGGAAGAGTTAGTTGCATCCCGGAGCGATCTTTTTATGTTTTTTTTTCCCTTTGAAAATATTCCACGTGTTCTACTCATAATTGTTTTCGTATTTTCATTACCACGCTATATAACGCCTGTCAGATAAGAATGTTGATCGGTGTATACTAGTGCGGCACTTTTGTTCTCTGCTTCGCTTTCCTCATCAAACTTCTTGCGTATCTCCTCATCAGTGGTGCACTTGTTCCTTGCCTTCGGTAAAAAAAGGAATACGCTAAACGTATTTCAAATCAGATTTTTATAAAAAACAAAAAGTAGACTTGAGGCATATTTTTACCATACATTCAACATCTCAGGCTAAGTTTTATGTGCCTTGGGTTTACTCGGTACCTCAGCAGTATGGTCCGAGTGTCGACCCGATCTTAAAACAAACTGAAAGTATAAGTCCTGCGGCAAACTTTTGGCGGGGTAAAATATGCGTTTTGTTTTATAAAGTTTGAAAACAAGTATACGTATCGTGCATTTATTTTTACCATTGGTGTTTAGAGCAAGTTGAGATAAAGATCGTAATTGGCACCGTACGTAATTTGTTCTTCTTTTCTTAAAAACAGGCTAATTTCTTTGAGGCGCTATTAGTTTTGGTTTCCGCTTTGCGAACAGCCTCGCGCTAACATTATTTCACGTGGCTATGTCAGCATGTTGCGCAGTATGGTCGCTCTTGATTTCGCCCCAAATCCCCTCAGTTACTTCCCATATTTGTTACATTTCAAATTTATTATTTCTTGCAAAATCATTTTGTGAGTAACAAAACTCTAAAGAACATTTTTATTCTTACTGACTTAGCAATGTGGCTATGTGAGCTGTTATCGTTTATTCTGACATCCATCGCCTAAATGAACGAGAAAACGAAATGTATAAAAAAATCAATGCTTTCTTTTTCCTCCATCCTTTCGAAACGAATAAGTTATAGTGTTCTCACGATTATACACCATGCACGTGAGTATAAAAACAGTTATTTACTGTATGGCGCACGCGACACTCAGTGGTAACTCTATGCACCTAATAATGTAAGTGGGGCATAGTTATTTATCACGACCCTTTATTAAATGATCTTATAAATTATAATATGGGAACTATAGAATAGATTTAACCAATTTATACTGTACGAGAATGTAAGAAAATAGCGGAAATTACATATATGTCATATTTCATGATACACCGACCCGAAATGACTAGCTACCTTTCCCAGGTAGCGCGCCTCAGAAACCCCTAACTTGGCACAAGCTTGGCAACCTTAGGAGCCCAACTTAATTAAGCCAAATACGGATTTCGCTCCAAGGCGTTATTTGGTGCCAGAGGTATTTGCTTCGGCGTTCCTATGTCCTGTCCTATGTTGTGTCCTATGTCCTATGCTTTGTTCTGTCTCTTTTGCGCTGTTTCTCATTATGTCGAGCAACCAACCAGCCGAGCAAGGTATCCTGTCAAAATACTATTATATGGAAAGCAAGATAATCGATTTCCAGATAATCCAGTCAATTATACACTTCAAAGGCGCCAGATGACAGTCAAATATAAAGCCTAAATCTAGGACTTGCTTGGCGAATTTGTGCCAACGTATCAATACTCTATCCAGAGAAGGTCAAGTACGACCTGACTTGGTTTCTTCGGTGTTTTTAGGGGCATAAACTCTCGCACACATCTACATTTTGGCTCCAACAACTGTGCTACCTTGCTATTAAAAACTCGCCCTTTGATATCGTCAGTTTGTCGCATGGCAAACTGACGTAATTGAAAACAAACGTTTTTACATTATCTACATAGAAATGGCTCGTTTTGTAACTTTTTAACGGATACATTTTTTTAAAAAATGCTGCCAATTGTTACGTTTTTTTTATTAAATTAAAAAAAAAAATTGCATCTCCGATTTAGTGATGTGACGTAGGTATACACTTGACACAAAACATTTCGCTACCTAGTTTTTGTTTTTTTGCTGCGTTACTTTTACGTAATTCAATGACGATCACATGTTTACACTATGTAGTGCGTTGCCAACGCATTATAGACAAAATATATGTCCGGTTTTTCTGGGTGGGGTGGGCCTCCCCCTGTGTTTTCGAGGTTTGTGTTTACGCCGGCAACTGTAAAAGGGGGAGGGGGACGGGAGGGGGTATATCTGTGTGTTCTGCTTATGTACGATTCGTCGGCGGGGGGCAAGGAAGCGTTGCGAGGGAGTGGGGGATTAGCAGAAGTGACAGTGGAGGGTGATAAGTCAACTGCGTGGACGTTCTCATCGACTGTGTGGCGCCTAGGGCATGTAGATGGCTGTGTGCGTGAGAAGGGCTGCTGACGCGGACTGGACGGGAGGAAGCGGTTTGACCTTCGGGACTGCGGATGTCGGGTGGGGGCACCGGGGGTGCTCGCCTTTTTAAACGAGTGTCTGAAAAATAAACGTTCAGCTGTGTTTGAGACGTTGTGTTGTATTCGTCCCCTTCTGTGTTCCTGAGTCTCGGGTTTTATTACCATGAATCATCACCAGCTCGCTTGTTTTTTAAGTATTATTGAGGTTTTACTACTATTTCTTACTTCATATTCCCATTAGAAAAAAGAGCACAAGATATGCATACCACTTCAATAGTGTCCTCCACTTCTTCTACAGATACAGCGGCCATCTTCTCTCTGTCTTGGAACACATTTTCTTCAAGCTTAGTTCCGTTCATCTGAATAAGACACAATCGATATTAAAATCTGTTTAAGCAAAACATTTTATTGTGTATAGATTATCAATCAACGTGGAATTCAATATTTGCGCGGAGTTCTTATTTTGTACCTTTATTTATTGATCTGCATCTGATTGAGATTAGATCATACAGGCGTTTTTGGTCGATATTTTATTTACTCACATCTTTATGTTACTCCCCCTCCGCCCCGCCCCCCCCCCCCCCCCCAAAAAAAAAGAACGTGAAAAGTTTAAAAACCAAATGTATTTCTTGAGATAAAAAACAGAGGTCTGCCTAAGAGCAGTAACCCCCATTTTGGCATTTTGTTTATGTATGCAAAGTTTGATGTCCCGTAAATTCAGCAAAGGATTACAGAAAATGAAATATTTTATAAATATAGTAGTTTATATCGCTAACATCTATACAATGTCTACAGTTTTCCAAAAAAAAGTATATCGTGCGTCAAGATTGCAAAAACCTCGCAACTTCGACATATTAGCTATATAATTATGATTTATTATTTTGTAGTGTTTCTTGGGGTATAGCACTGATATTTTTTTAAATATATTATTGACAAAGGGTCTATCTGAGTATAATTTGTTCATTCAGTTCGTAAAAGATATTTACATAGCTTCATACATGTATAAAGGTAACGCACCGCAACTTAACCGACGCACTTGACATCATTTCGCAGTATTTTTCTTTTAAACACGTTGCCTTTTTTGTCTTCGCATAAAATATACCGCTTCGATGCGCACATATTTCTCTACTTAGACATCTTTACCCGAAACTGGTGAGGTTTTATCGCCAAACATTTTTAAGCTTCCCTTGTTAATTTTTTTTTTTTCAAAAGCACTTCTTAAAAGGATCTATCATCTAGAAATCAATTGATGCTCTATTTTATATATGAAAGCTTCGAGATTGTGTCAAACATTTTCGAAGGTAGATCTTTTCATAAATTTAATGTACACCTTTATATGTTTCGTGTTCAAGTGATGTATTTTATCGCATCGCCATGTTTCTGCAATAAAATTAAATAGCATTATCTTGTATATATACGCTTATAAATGTACTTTCCATAGAGAAGTTTTGTTTACAAACTGCGGCCTCATGTTTCTGCGCTCTAGGAAGAAGACCCATGTTGTTTAGAAAAAAAACTATTTTCAAACTCCTGTAAAAAAAATGTTTTTCGTGCAAGACTTGTCATATTATGATACGCTGGAGAAAAACAACCTTCTGCGTTAAGTCCTCATTTCTAACTCTTTTCGCTCGCGTTCGGCAAAATTGAAAAGCATGCGTGAAGGGCCTAAGCCCGCACCTCGTATCGCTGCGCCAGCAGTGTTCTTCCGCAGCATAAAGGCCGTCTGCTTTCATCGCCGTCACCATAGCAACGAACGCCGAATGAATGCAAGCACGCACGATACACACCGTCTGCTAGCCGAAGTTTAATAGTTTTGTATTGAGGAGCCGCAGACTGTCGCAGCGAAGCGTCGTGAACGCTGAGGCGCCCCTCTCCCATCACGAGGCGTCGCGGCATAAACGGTGAGGGGGGACCTCTGTGTTGACGCCACGTGGGGCGGGTAGAGCTCTTTCCAGTGATCGACGTGTGGCGGACAAAGAGTCCAACAGACGACAGCACTCAACGCCCGATGCCGACCGACACCCGCGCACCTTGGCGCGAAGAAAAAGATGACGAAGCACGCGCAACCAGCTCCCGGGTGAAACACAGCTTGTCGTTCCAAGCAAGACTATGGTTCAGACAACCAAACTAGCCGTCGATAAAAGACAGCTATTGTAGCTCAGTCGTCGATGGAATTATTACGTGCTACAAACTGGTGACCCAAACGTCGAACCCGTCCCTGCTAGTTAGTTGTGCTAACCTACAACTGCTGAAATGACGGACCAAGACTACACACCGATGCCTCCACCGGTGAGCCTTCCTTGCTGGCTGCGAACATCGGCGCACAAACTTCAAGCTTCCCGCCTTTTGGAATGGCGACGCAAAACTCTCGTTTCTACACGTCGAGGTCCTATTTCGGTCACACCGGAATGCATCGCAAAGGTCCCGGTTCGACTACGTAATAGCTGCGCTACCTTAAGCTACTGCCGCGATAGTTCGCGACATTCTACGTGCATCACCCGACAACTCATATGATCGCCTTAAAGAACGTATTCACCGGACCACGGAATCCGAACAACGCCGCCTACAACAACTCTTGACGACAGAAGTGTTAGGAGACCGAAAACCAACAGAACTCTTACATGCACCAACTGCTTGGTGACCAGCCTGACACAGTCGAGGTATCAATTTTCAGAAAACCTTTCCTTGAACGGCTCCCAAACAACGTCCGTATGATCCTGTCCGCCTCAGAAATAACATCTACCGAGGCCTTAGCTCGCATGGCAGACAGGATCATAAAGGTCGATACACCTACCATCTCGACTCTTGGTACAACCAGACCATCATCATATCCAAGCAAGGACCCCATAGAGAAACTCAACGCCGTCGTCTCATGAGTTTCAGGAAAGGTGGACCAACTTAACACCGAAGTGTACTCCCTTCGGCTGGCTGAGCCACGCCCACTAAGCAATGATCAGAGGTCATCGAATTGGCGACCTCAAACGGGACGACCCCGGTCAAGTACAACAGCCGCCGGGGAACCTAATTGACACTGCTGGTACCACCAAAAATATGGAGAGCAAGCCCGCCGCTGCATTCCTCCCTGCGCTTACCAGGGAAACTTCCGAAGCACGCATTAACGACGGCAAATGCAGTGGTACCTGATATCAGTCGTCTTTTTTTTTTATTACGGAGAATAACACAAAAATGTATTTTTTAATTGACACAGGAGTGGAGATCAGTGTAATTCCTCCAAGTGAAGAGGACCGCCGACACCGTCAAAGCTGTCCGTCACTTCAGGCTGCAAATAATAATAATAATAATAATAATAATGTTTATTTTCCGTCAAAACACAAATGACGGAGGGAGACCGAGGAAAAAAGCTGCATCATGCAGCTTGACGGGCCCTCGGCCCCCCCTCCTTACAAATGGTTTCACCATCGCGACATTCGGAGAAAGATCGCTCACACTCGATATTGACCTCCACCGCCCCTTTCGTTGGGTGTTTCCAGTCGTTGAAGTAACTCGTCCCATTATAGGCGCCGACTTCCTTCGTTTCTTTAACCTCAATGTGGATGTTCGGTGTAAAAGACTGATTGGCGCAAACACGCAACTCAGCATTCAAGGGTTGTGCTCAGAGGAACCACTAATTTTAAAGATCACGATTGATTCTCCGTGGCAAAGCGTTCTCGCAGAATTTCCTGCCATAACACGCCCATCTATAACTGAACGACCTGCCAAACACACAGTAACCCATTGCATCGAGACAATCGGCCCTCCCGCGTTCTCCCGCCCACGCCGCCTTGCTCCAGACCGCTCCAAGTTGCCAAGAATGAGTTCAATCATATGCTCGTACTTGGCCTGATACGACCGTCTTCCAGGAACTGGTTTTGTCCTCTGCATATGGTTCCCAAAAAGACAGGCGACTGGAGACCCTGCGGCGATTACAGGGCTCTTAACAAAGCCACTATCCCTGACTTCACTGGTGCCATTGCAAGATCAACAATCTTTTCTAAGATTGACCTCGTAAAAGCCTATCACCTGGTCCCCGTGGAGCCAGCCGATATTCACAAAACGGCGATAATCACACCATTTGGCCTGTTCGAATTTCTACGCATGCGTTTCGGCGTGCATAATGCTGCGCAGACATTCCAACGCCTTATGGACCAGATAGTGCGAGGACTCTCGTTCTGTTTCGCCTACTTGGACGACGTCCTTGTCTTCAGCCGCACTCCAGAAGAACATCAGAAACATCTTCACACCATTTTTTTCAAGACTGGACAACTATGGCATTACCATACAAATCGAAAAATGCGAATTTGGCGTATCAGAACTTGATTTCCTCGGTCATCACCTCGACCAAAAAGGAATCCATCCACTTCAGTCACGAGTACAAGCAATTCGTGACTTTCCTACACCGACAACGGTGAAACAACTACGTCGTCTAGGTCTTCTAAACTTCTACCGCCGTATTTACCACACGCAGCAGCAACGCTGACACCTCTCAACACTCTCTTGGCAGGAATCACGAACAACAAGCACCTGTCTCGTGGAATAACGCAACAACTTCCGCATTTGCCACGGTGAAGAAACAACCTGCTGAGGATTCTATTTTTACCCACCCACACTGCGAGGCTCCGTCCTCTTTAATGGTGGGCGCTCCCGACGTGGCAGTTGGAGCAGTGTTCCAACAGTATCTTCATGGCAAATGGTGTCCAATTGGATTTTTCTCTAAAACTCTATCACCTGCTGAACAACGGTACAGCACATTCGACCGAGAGTTACTGCCCATCTGTATCTCAGTCAGGTACTTCCGTTACTTGCTCGAAGGTCGTCAGTTTTCCATCTACACTAACCACAAACCGCTCACGTTTGCAATGACATCCAGTGCTACACACTCTCCTCGAGAAATGAGGCATCTAGCCTTTATCTCTGAATTTTCCACAGGCATACGACCCATTTCTGGCCAGAACAACGTCATTGCCGACACTCTATCAAGAGTGTCTGTGAATACATCGTACACCGCAAACCCTTCTATAGATTTTTCAGCGCTAGTCACGTCACAAGCAGTGGACCCGGAACTCCAACTGCTCAAGGCATCGTCGACTACACTTACTCTGAAGGACATCCAGATGAACTCCTTCTTATGAGTTGTGAATACGAAAGCACGCACGCCACTCTTCGCTCTCTTTAATCTGCGGCGTACAACGCGGTGACCTTGGGCGTGGAACGGTGGAGCCGCTGCCTCGCAGACACGCAGCGCAGACGCGCCGTCCAAAAACGTCATTTTGTGTTCGGTACCATGGTGATGGCGATGAAAGCAGGCGGCTTTACGATGCAGAAAAAAACTGCGGCGCAGCGATACGAGGTGCGTGCTGAA